TGACTATTGGAGCCATCTATAGATTTCTCAATACTACCATAGCTTCTTTCTTAGATAACCTAAGGAATCTTATTATAAACAACAATCTCAACAAAAACCACATCATTCTGGGAGGAGACTTCAATATTGACCTGGGTCAACAAAATTGCTCTCAAGTTGACTATTTCCTTAACAGCATGAACTCCTGTATGCTAATCCCCACAATCACCAAACCTACCCGAGTCACTCAAACATCAGCCACTACCTTGGATCACATATGGACTAATATAACAGCTCCCCTTATATCTGGTATAATCTACGACAGAACAACTGACCACTATCCTACCTTTCTCATAACGAACATGGACATAACACCATAAAAAAGCAGGAAACTTACATTCAGGCTACACAGTGTATCAGTTTTAGGCAATCTTACAAATGCACTTCACAATATTACTGGGATTCTGAAGTCAATAATACTCAGGATATAAATTCATTAGCTAACCTCTTCCTCTCCAAAACTCTAAGCCTCTACAACCTTCATTGTCCCCTCCTTACCAAGCAAGTAACTTACAAAAGATTAAACAATCCATGGCTCACAAGTGGCATTTCCAAATCAATCAACAAGAAACATGAACATGAAAAGAAACTTAGGATTGGCCTAGTTACAAAGGAAGTAGTTAAAAGGAACTCATCAATGCTTACCAGTATCATAAGAAAGGCAAAACTTTCATATTATGTGAATAGATTCAATGAAGCAAAAGGCAACATGAAAAGCACATGGAAAACCATCTCTAGTATCCTAGGAACTAAACAATACTCACATAACTAAATAAAACTCTATAAGGATGATTATACATCGTCAACTGATTTAGAAATGGCAAATGAATTTAATAGCTTCTTTTCATCGGTTGGTGCTAATCTTGCCAGAAAAATCCCGCAGACTCAGACACATATTAACACATATCTCTCAGGCAACTATCCGAACTCTCTTCTCCTTTCACAAGTCAGCCCGACAGATGTTGTGTCCATCATACACTCACTAGAAACCAAGGCAGGGAACACCAGTGAAATTCCGTACATTGTATACAAGAGCGCCTCCCATGTCCTTGCGCCACCCATAGCTCGACTGTTCAACAAATCCATAAATTGTCATACCTTCACTGATATCCTTAAAAAAAGCAAGAGTAACGCTAGTCCATATAGGAGGCAATCCGGCGGACATAAACAATTATAAACCAATATCAATCCTATCCATTCTATCAAAAATATTAAAAAAAAATATTTACAAACAGCTCTTTTCCTACCTCGTAAAATTCGACATGCTCAGCCCCTGCCAGTTTAGCTTCCGGTCCCAAAAGAGTACGAATGATGCAATCATTAGTCTCCTTGACGTAATCTACTCAGCCTTTGACAAAAATGAGTTTCCGATTGGACTCTTCATTGACCTAAGAAAAGCCTTTGATACTGTTAATCACAACTACCTCTTACTTAAACTCCATCATTATGGAATCCGAGGCCTTGCTTTGGACTATATCCGATCCTATCTTAGTAACAGACACCAGTGTGTAACCATCAATGATACAACCTCTTCCACTCTACCAATAACCGTTGGAGTGCCACAGGGCAGCATCTTAGGACCTCTTCTATTTCTTATATATATCAATGATCTGCCTAATGTTCTAATATTCTTAAACCTATATTATTTGCTGATGATACTACCCTCATCTGTTCAGACCCCAACCCACATACACTAAATAATGTTGTGAATAAGTTAGTTTAGTTCATTTATTATGCACTCCATACCCATCTTGTGGGCGGTAGTGAAATGGGTTTCAGAGGCACATAATGGGCTAAGGGACTGAACCCCACAATTCATTAGGTAAGCAAGTTACAATCTTGATGAGCTAGTTACAAAATTCAATATAAGTCGTCACATCAACAATGGGTTCGATATCGATCACAAGTCGGCCACTGTCAAACACCAAAACCTTCTTAAATTACATCATTATGGAGTCAGAGGACACTACCTGTAATACCTCAAATCTTACCTTACTGACAGGCTCCAGTATATTTCTGTGAATAATTCAATTTCTCCCACCCTACCCATCAACATCGGTGTTTCTCAGGGCAGCATACTTGGCCCTCTCCTCTTTCTCATCTACATTAATGACCTTCCAAAAGCCTCCCAACACCTCAAACCAATTCTATTTGCTGACGACACAACCTTCATTTACTCCAGTTCTGACCCCCTTGCTCTAAATGTCACAGTGAATACTGAGCTAAATAAAGTCCATCTTTGGCTAACTGCCAACAAACTCACCCTTAACACTGACAAAACTTTCTATATTCTGTTTGGCAATAAATCCTCTATTCAAATAAATCTCAGGATAAACAATACCCAAATTTTTAACAAAATAGATGGCAAATTCCTTGGCGTTCTCATTGACCACAAGCTGAATTTCCAGGGACACTCTAAATATATAAAAAAGATTTCAAAAACTGTTCACGTTCTTTCTAAGATCAGATATTATGTCCCCCGCTATGCCCTGGTGACGCTCTATTACTCCCTCATCTATCCATATCTCAACTATGGTATTTGTGCTTGGGATTCTACTACCCAAAATCATTTATGTCCTCTAATTACTCAACACAAAGCTGCTATTAGGACAATATTCAACTCTGGCCCCAGACATCACTCGGTACCCCTACTCAAATCTCTGAATATGTTAGATTTTAAGTCACTGCACATTCTCTCATGTGTATTATACATATATAAAACGCTGAACTGTAATGCAAATCCTGATCTCAAAAGCTTCATAGAAGGTTGTAACAGAACCCATGAGCACCACACCAGAAACAAATACAGTTTTGATATTCCAAGAGTACGACTTAATCAAACTAGAAATGCTCTACATATCAAGGGACCCAGAATGTGGAATGACCTTCCCAACCATGTTAAAGACTGTACCTCTTTCAACCAGTTTAAGATAAAAACTATGCACTACCTAATAAATTCCCTATAACCTACCTTACCCCTATATTGTCAATCCATGTCTGTTTTTTTAAACAACGCTGTTTGTCGACCTAATTGTATTTGTGCTGCTTTTTCTGCCATGTCCCCCCTCCCCCTTTTTATTTTTATTTTTATTTGTTCTCAACACATTTTATACTTTAATCTCAATTAGTATTAAGTTTTATAGTCTTTAATGTTTTTTCTGCCCGAAACGCTTTGCGTAATAGTGGCTTTAGGCATTGTATGTACTAGCTCTATCTATAAATCTATCAATTTTTGTAAAACCTCTTGTAAGTTTGTACTTTACCTGAATGAACATTTAATTTATTTATTTATATTATTTATAAGTACAATTTGTATGAAAGCAGAATTTGTTATTATTCTGATAGCAGATTTTTGTGGGTGATGATGGACTTGAGGTGGTTTGCAAGAGTTGAACCCCCATGCACAGATACCATAATTAAGATAGGGATGAATTAGTGCATAATATAGTGAGATGAGAGCAGAGTTAGGTACATAATATCTGATTTTGGAGAGTATACCAACTGTTTTAGAGACTTTCTTAGTTATGTATTGTATGTGGGTACTGAAGTTGAGTCTCTTGTCTAGGAATATGCCGAGAAACTTTCCATCACTTTTTACCACTAATGTTAACATTGTCTATCTGAAGCTCAATTGCATTTGTTGATTTGCTTCCAAGTAAGATGTAGTAGGTCTTTTTATGTTAAGTGTTAGTTTGTTGGTTGACATCCATAAGTGGACTTTTTTTTTAGTTCATTATTAACAACATTATTTAGTGTATGTGGGTTTGGGTTAGAGTAGATGAGGTTAAAGTTTTAGAATGTTGGTGACAGGCAGATCATTGATGTATATAAGAAATAGGGGAGGTCCCAAGATACTGCCCTGTGGCACTCCAACGGTTATTGGTAGAGTGGGAGAGGTTATATCATTGATGGCTACACGTTGGTGTCTATCTCTAATTTAGGATTGGATATATTCCAGGGCATGGCCTCGGATTCCATAATGATGGAGTTTACGTAAGAGGTAGTTGTGATTAACAGTACATCAGCAGATAATGATAATTCCCAGAGATAATTGTAACCGAGCAGTAGTAACATCTAGAAGTCTGCTGATTTTATTGGATGAACCAAAAATGTGTGGCTCCTCTTGCATGATAGTATGATGAGAGATAGAATTACGGTGTTGATTTCACTTTGCCTTAGATCTACAAGATTTTGTTGAAGTTCTTAGTGTACTTTTGCTCTCAGACTGTTTATTGACAATCCAAGGTTATATACTCAATTCTTCCTTTAAAGGCAGATTCTTTGGCTAACGTATCAGCTCTATCATGCTTTTAAAATATTGAACAAGTTAGAGGATGTTAATCCGGATATGCTCTTCAGAAGGTCAGATATAACACAAACAAGGAACAATGTTTTCAAGCTCAACAAGTCACAATGTAGGACTAAGAACAGGAGAGGCTTTTTCACCCACAGGGTTATTAACCAGTGGAACCGCCTACCCGCCGAAGCCGTAAATGTGAAAGCTGTGCTGAATTTCAAAATCTACCTGGAAAAGATCATCAAGGCAAATGGGGGGGGGGGCCTTAGACAAGCCGCCGGCTTCCTGTGTGAATGGGGAAAAACAATGGAATAAGTGCTATGCCTCTCAATTTTTCGAAAGTTGCCAACGTTCCAAAACACATTCGTAACACCATTTCGTCCAACAGTTATTTCACATCTCTCTACTCTTAGGAATGGTTGACACAACATTTAAATTCTAGTATTCGTTACAATTAAGAGTGTGTGAGGGGAGAATGAGAGCGTGGGTGAGGGGAGCAGGGCGCAGGGGGGGGACACTTGAGATCACCAGCCGTCACCTCCAGCAGACCACTACGCAGTAGCCTCGGCCGCCCTCGCTCTCTCTCCAACACAACTCCCTCGACCAAGTTGTGGTGGCGTGAACATGAGCCACAGTTTAAAGGTATTTGTGGTGTTGTTGGTGTGTGGTGTTAGAGCAGTTGGGGTGTATCAGTGAGGGGGGAAGTGTGGCAGAGGCTGCAATTGTCAGCCACATAATCAATACCAGAGTATGGATCTGTGGCTGCCTGTAGACACCCTTGCCGCTGTCATCTGTAAGTTCCTTTATTCCTGTAATGTGTCACCAACTGTCTCTCAAATGGTTGGTTGTATATATACCTTAACTTCCTTGTTACTTTATAATAATATAAAACATTGATACTGTCAATTGCCATTAATTTTGTCTTCAGTTAAGATAAGATGTTTATTCGGGTCAAGGTACACACAATAAAAATGAGTTACAAACATAATGTTGGGTTAATAGATAGATCTGTACACACACTGCCACAAGCCACTAATATGCACAGCGTCTTGGGCAAGGTGTCGGGGGGGGGGGGGGGGGGGGGAACTTACACTAAAACTTAAAACTAATTCAGATCAAAAGCATAATTTGAATTGAAAAAAAGAAAAAATAATGAGAATAATAATAATTTAATGATGGATAGAACAGCAGAAAATGGAACAGAACAGCAGAACGAATTTTAACAAAATAAACAGATTACAATTTTCTTTGTTTATAAATGGCAGATATTAGCAGTTATATAAGTTGGTCAATAACCAATAATGTTTGAAAAATAGCAAGACATGGGTTGACATTTAGGAGATAAGGTTGGTTACATGGCGTTTATTAGGTAGTCCTTAGTTTTTTCTCTTAAACTGGTTGAGAGAGGTACAGCCTTTAACAAGACTGGGAAGGTCACTCTACATTCTGGGTTCCTTGATTTGTAGAGCATTTCTAGTTTGGTTAAGTCGCACTCTGGGAATATCAAATTGGTATTTGTTTCTAGTGTGGTGTCCATGGGTTCTATTACAACATTCTAGGAACCGTTTAAACTACTGTGGATTTGCCACTGGTGACATATACAAGGGCAATAACCATATTTAGGATCTCTTATCTTGATTATCAGCACTTCCACCATATTGTTTGTGGTGTTTAGCATCACAGTGCAGATGAGTGTGTCTCTTATGTACAGCCTGACCCCCCTGTAGCCTGTGTTTCCTGTCATATCTGAAAAGATTGTACACAGGTATATCCATATTTCACTATCATAGTAATATAATCTTTTGTGAGAGTTTCAGTTAAAGCTATAAACACTGCATTTGCCTCATTTAGGAGGCCAGCAATAATGTGGACTTTGTTTGATTTGCATGTTTTAATACCCTGAATGTTGTTAGTTTAGTTCATTTTTTATGCACCCCATACCCATCTTGTGAGCGGTAATGGAAAGGGTTACAGAGGCACATAATGGGCTCAGGGACTGAACCCCATAGTTCATTTAGCTAAGCAAGTTACAATCTTGATGAGCTAGTTACAAAATTCAGTATAAGTCGTCACATCAACAATGGGTTCGAGATCGACCTTAAGTACAGTTTCTAAATTAAGCAACTGACATATGTGGAGAGCTAGTGTCACAATTGATATGTTTGTCTTGCACACCGCCCCCCATCCAGTGGGCAGCGGTGGATAGGTTACAATCACTCTTAGTTATGTTGGTAAATATAAATGATGTTATCATGTTTGTGGAAGTGCTGGATGTTTGACTTGGTGTTAGTATCTGGGGAGGTTTCTGGGGTATCTTGCACTACTCCAGAAAAGCTTTATAAAGTTCACTTTTGCCAACAGAGGGGTTGACAACTGGAACAAGTTAAGTGAGAATGTTATGGAAGCCAAAACCACTTGTAGTTTCAAAGCATTATGTGGCAGAGTGCTGGGAAGATGGGGACACCATGAATGTAGCTCTCATACTGTAACTACACTTACATAATTACATTTAGGTAATTACACACCCTTCTCCCATCTCCCCTTTCCCTGCTTACACATGCCCACTCCCTGTCTCCTCCTTTCCTCACCAAAACACCTTTCCCTCTATCTTGTCCCTTTGTGATAACACATGCCCTCTACCCATCTCTTCCCTGTTTGCCCCGATTTGCCCTCCTTCCCTGCCCACATTCGCCTTTCCTCCACCATCCCTCTTCCCCCACACACATCCTTCCCTCAGCCATTTTCTTCTTGCTCACAAATGCCCTTCCCCTGTCTCCTCCCTTCCTGCCCATATGCAACCTTCTGTTTCTTCCCTGCCTGCACACATGAGCCCTTCTCCAGTCTCTTCCTGCCCCCACCCACCCCTCCTCCCACCAATGTGACCAAAAGGTTGTACCCAGAATGCAAATCTGTCATCTGAACATCTCTTTTGCGAATCAATAACTGAATTCACTGTTATTGAAAATAATGCTTTGGACTTGGGGCTGAACTATTCACACCCATAGACTCCCTGAAGGATGTGCATTGAGGCCATGCTCCCCGTTCATAGCAGCATTGAGCTGACCCTGACCCCACTATGACATTCCTCTTAATATTCCATCACCATATTAGGTACCATCACCATTAATCCTGTAATGGTAATCCTTCGCTGCCTTCTCTAACCCTTCACCACCTTCCATATCCCTTCATCGCCTTCCCTAACCCTTCACCACCTTTCCTATCCCTTCACCGCCTTCCCTAACCCTTCACTGCCTTCCCTAACCCTTCACCGCCTTCCCTAACCCTTCACCGCCTTCCCCAACCCTTCACTGCCTTCCCTAACCCTTCACCACCTTCCCTAACCCTTCGCCACCTTCCCTAACCCTTCACCACCTTCCCTAACCCTTCGCCACCTTCCCTAACCCTTCACCACCTTCCCTAGCCCTTCGCCACCTTCCCTAACTCTTCACCACCTTCCCTAACCCTTCACCATCTTCCCTAACCCTTCGCCACCTTCCCTAACCCTTCGCCACCTTCCCTAACCCTTCGCCACCTTCCCTAACCCTTCGCCACCTTCCTTAACCCTTCACAACGCCTACCCTAATCCTTTGCCGCCTTCCCTAACCCTTCGCCACCTTCCCTAACCCTTCACCACCTTCCCTAACCCTTCGCCACCTTCCCTAACCCTTCGCCACCTTCCTTAACCCTTCACCACCTTCCATAACCCTTCGCCGCCTTCCCTAACCCTTCGCCACCTTCCCTAACCCTTCGCCACCTTCCCTAACCCTTCGCCACCTTCCCTAACCCTTCGCCACCTTCCCTAACCCTTCGCCACCTTCCTTAACCCTTCACCACCTTCCCTAACTCTTCGCCACCTTCCCTAACCCTTTGCTGCCTTAATTAATAATAATAATAATAATGTTTATTTAGGTAAGGTACATACATACAAGAAATTTTTACAAAGATTGGTGGACTTATAGATAGAGCTAGTACATACAATGCCTAAAGCCACTATTACGCAAAGCGTTTCGGGCATGAAAAACTTAAATGACTAAAGCTTAATACTAATTGAGCATAAAGAGTAAAAAGAAAACATGAAATGAAAACATAGCTGAAAAAGCAGCACAAATACAATTCTGTCGACAAACAGCGCTCTTTAAAAAAAAAAAAAAGACATTGGTTGACAATAGAGGGGTAAGGTAGGTTACAGGGAATTTATTAGGTATAGCTTCGTTTTTATCTTAAACTGGTTGAGAGAGGTACAGTCTTTAACATGGTTGGGAAGGTCATTCCACAATCTGGGTCCCTTGATTTGTAGAGCATTTCTAGTTTGATTAAGTCGTACTTTAGGAATATCAAAACTGTATTTATTTCTGGTGTGGTGCTCATGGGTTCTGTTACAACCTTCTATGAAGCTTTTGAGGTCAGGATTGGCATTACAGTTTAGCGTTTTATATATGTATAATACACATGAGAGAATGTGCAGTGACTTAATGTCTAACATAAATTAACCCTTCGCTGCCTTCCCTAATCCTTTGCCGCCTTCCCTAACCCTTCACCGCCTTCCCTAACCCTTCGGCACCTTCCCTAACCCTTCACCGCCTTCCCTAACCCTTCGCCAACTTCCTTAACCTTTCACAACGCCTTTCCTAATCCTTTGCCGCCTTCCCTAACCCTTCACCGCCGGTCCGTCTAATTACCATAAGCTACACAAGCTTCAGAAAGCTTCCTGGCAATACGTTCGTAATGAATAAATATGATATATTTACTCATTATAATGTTGGTGCTGAATGTACAACACGAAAAAACATAATTTTAGTCTGAAAAAGTATCTTTTTATAAAGAAATTAGACGAAAATAAAAAGCTGGTGTAGCGAGTAGATTATCCCAATAATATACTCGCTCCAAATGCATTGTTAATATTCCTGTCAACCTTTGGAGATGAATGAGGTGAGGCGTTGCCCGGGCAACACGGTGAGGTGTTGCCCGAGCACATAAGCAGCAGAATAGCAAACATTAACTAGTCTACTTTCAAGTGTTGATTAGAGCAGACACTTGCGAGATTCTGTACCGACGCTCAGTGCGCTCAACTCACACCAAAGTATCACCTGTGTACTTCTGTATATTCGACCAAATATATATATAGTATCTTAGTGTCTGTGTTTATTTGTCACCATACTTTACGTAACAATAGAACCGTTACATTGGTGACCCAGTGAGTGAAAAAGAACACCTAGTCACAAACTAGATCTTCGTCATGGATTTATCTACCAGGTTTCCAGCATACAACGCAGATGAGCCAGAATTTTGGTTCGTGCAGATGGAGGCTATTTTCGACCTTCACGAAATTTCGACTGAGAAAGCCCGATATGCCTGTACCCTGTCAACACTTACCTCGGAGGCTATGCACACTGCCTCCGCTGTCATCACCGGACACCAGGACGTACACTGCATTGAAGGCCGCTCTTCTACAGGCAGCAATGAAACGCCGCATTCAACAAAGGGACCAACTCCTCACTGACAAAAGATTAGCAGACAAAACACCAGCTCAGCTTCTGCGGCATATTCAGTATGTGATGCATACTGCAACTGGCCCAGCCCCCAGCGAGATTGTGAGATCACTGTGGACACAACTCTGTCCAAAACACATTCAACCGGCCCTATTCAGTATGGCTGACGACACCGCATTAGCCCAGCTGGCTACACTGGCAGACCGGCTTCATACGACGTCTGATAACGCTACGCTGTCCCATCCCAGTGTAACACATCAGACTACAGACACCCAACAACTCGACGTCCTCCAGAACCGGCGTT